ATGCAATGATCCTTGCACCAACCACATTCGAATGGGAAAGGAAACGAAAGTCGGATGACCCATGGCAATGTGCTTATGAAATTATGATCGCTTGCTCACGCAAGGTTACCGTTTGAACGACATAAAACAAATGACCCGTGTGAGTGCGGCATCTAGCTGCACGTGTGCCTTCATACCTTCTTCGTTCTCGGAGCCGTAAATTGTGGTATATTTGAATGTCGGAGTCGACCCATGTTATGTTGCCTCCTCGTTCAGGCCAGGAGATGCACGGCGCCGACGAGCACATGCCGCCGTGGACTGCTTGTTTTTTCTACCTCTACTCAGGCTCGTCAGCCTATTTGATACAGTGGTGAAATCGTTTCGTTGCTCTATCGCCATCGCGAAGGAAGCCCAGTACCTGCTTTCCCTTTTTTTTCCCTCTAACATTTATTTGTGTGTTCCTCTTTACGGGAGTCTTGCAGCTTGTTCGACTGCTCGCCGACACATCAATTCCCGTGTGTTCGAACCATTCATTGTAATCTCTCCTCGTGCCGGTCACTGTGTGGATATTGTTCTCATGTGCCTACACAGCCGACTGACCTAAGACAGGTGCGAACGTACGAACCTGTGTCTCAGGCACCACACCCATGACAACATAGTGGGTACCTGAAGCTGTGCTAAGTGCATTCCTGCAAAAGAGGCGTACATTTATCACTGGGCATGAAAATCACTGAGACATTATTGATCAGCCATATTTCTTATGTGTTGTACCGCGGGAAATACCATGCTTGTCGGTAAGACGGGGGAGGGTGAAGTTGACGTTGGGGGGGATGAAGTATGTTATGTTTAGCCGTGACCCGACAGAAAGGATACCTTCAACTTGTGGGGCAAGGTTGTACACGCGGCTCAGATTAATTTATTCAGTATCCAAAGATGGCGTAATTGTCGTTAGTACTCAACACCCTTCTTTTGGTGAGTTGAATATCGTCAACAGGTTTCCAACCGCCGGGGGGATGTTTTCGTTTTCTGAAACCACCCTCCCCCCTGGTCGGGCATCGAAAAAGGGGGGGCGAAATACGATCTACTCCGGGGGGAAACTTCGTTATCCGTAACCTTGGTTTGCCCTATTGCCATACGTAGATAGCCCGGAGTTGTGGCTGTTCAGTCGTCATGTTTTCTCGACGGCCCGTTAGATACACAGCATATTTTCGACGTTTGCTCATCTTGTCCAATCGACTTTTTCCGGTGCGTATCCACACTTTCGCGGGCTTTTCCTTTCCACGGTATTACTTACGCCGTAGCTATTCGCAACCCCTTTTCTGAGGTTCCCCTCGCCCTGCGTACGTTTACACTATGACGGTTTTCTTCGTGCCCCGTCACTACTGACACCCGGGGCGATCCATTTATTTCTCGGGAGCGACCATGTGCACCTTACCCAACGCAGTGCGCTGCTGTCGAGGTGTCTATGACCACGAGCATATCGGTGGGCAGGAGAGGATTCCGGGTTAGCCTAGGTCCCACGTTCCGGCATTTCATGTCGTTTGTATTTGTCTACTTTTGTTTGTACTGCTCCCGCCGCCAGCCCCCCGACTATGGCTGGCCGCGTTGCGCGGTGTTTGACGGAATCCGCGGCTTATGCAGTTATTCTCTTGCCTGGCATCCTGGCGTTTGGGTTTAGTCTGTTGCAGGCAGCTTACGACCGCACGATCGATCGGGGTGGCCCCCGTGGCAGATTTGGTCGACATCGCTCTGCACTCTCCGCACCATAGGGTGTTTGCTGCATTCCTTCAGCAGGACATGGGACAACGTCCGCCAGACCGGCGACCCGCGGTAGAGCCTGCTCCATTCGTAAAGAGCTCATTACTTCACTTTCTTTCGTGCCAGAAGTACGCAGAGACAGCCGAGTTTCGCGCTGGCGCCGCGCTGGTCGCCGCTTGGCGTGACACGCGGTCGCGCACACACAGGTTCCTCAGCTAAGGGTGCGCCTCGCTCGGACTATGTAGCGATGTAACCGTCTACTTGGAATCACTTTTAATTGGCCGGGTTGCCGACCTGTCCTTTACGGTCGCCACGGAGAGGCCGATCCTCCGGGGATTCATGGCCTGATTGTCGGTCACCAGTTTGGTCGCAAATTCGGGCATCTATTTAGCGGAGCGGTGGTGGGGTTGGCAGACTATGCCTATCCGAGCTCTTGAGCATTTCGTGTGGTCACGACGTACGTAGCGGCCGCTCAGCACGTCGGTCGGGACCTGACCATCGGGCACTTATTCCCGGCGATGGTGACGGCGGAAGGCAAATGAGGAGACCTTCCTTTTTCTGCGGACCGCCATTCAAGGTGCAGGGTTGTCCCTTTCGTGTTGGAGGTCCCCTCGTCCAACCCATGGTGGGAGCGGAAGTGGTATCAGGTCCTGGAGATCGGGGGTTGGTGTGTGCAAATGTGGCAAGGGGTTCTGCAGCCAGCGCTACGCCGATGTTGGCCCCATACTGGCAGCGTCCCAACAAGAGTACGCCTCGTGTGCGTTTTCATTGAGGCCGGTACTATCATGTGTATAAAAGAAGTTTAGGTGAGATGATCTCGCGCCGGACGAGTGGTCAAATTATGTGAAGCCAACGGATGGAACGAAGGATGTTCGGGGCAATAGTCCCGCGCAGGAGGCCTCATCCAATCCAATACTCACGTAAAATGATCCTCGGTATGGAGACAGAATACAACAGGAACCTCCGATTTCACTCCTCCAGCCCGAATAGGTGATGGCGGGCTCTTGTACGTGTAGCCCTACAGGCCTTTTTGCGCATCTTTGTGAGCGCCCATGATGGGCGGCCCATGCGATGCTCACCTGGGCAATTCATTGTCTGCCCTTGGGCAGCTCGTGGGTAGCACATGAAGTGCCCATGGGCGAATTATCAAAACTCCCAGTAGTGTGAGAGACCAGGTCTCCATATGGACATGTCTCCACGAAGATCGTCTCAACAGCGTGTCGAAATGAAGGCCTATGCGTCATCTTATGCGTCATCCAAGAAAGATATCTGTAGGACTAAGAATACGCCCAGCCTCCAGCAGGTTATCTTCCCCTCCACCCCAAAGACTTGGACACCATGGTGTAATCTCGAACGGATAGTCACTCTTTATGTAAGCTGTAGCGCAATGAAAGGCCCCACCGCCTTCAATGGGCGGCGGGGCCCGAAGAAAACGGCGAACCAGATAAGATATCCAACTTTGTATGTGGTAACTTGGTGGTAGGATAACATTGTACGTATGTTGGAACAAAGTGCAGACCAAGATCAACGGACGCGGGAAAGGGAAGGAAGGCAGTAAGCAAGAATGACGTTAGACGTTGTACTGTAGATGAGGAAGGATTGACGAAGACTGCTTGTGTAATGAATGAGGACCGTTGGAGAAGATGGAAAAATTTGACCATTAATGAAAGCGCCAATGGCCATACCGATAACACAAATAAGAGTGTTGGTATTGAAGTCGTCACTCAATCTCGCTTGTGTGAATTTCGGGTCGTAGACGTGGCGAAACACACTGCTGGTAGAACCAGGGTACTTATTGATGTAGCAATCCATATCCTGCGATATTTTCGCCTGCTGTCCCCTTTTCCATCACACCAGCTCGCCAATGAACAGCATCGTCTACTCCAGCGCCTACGTAGATGGATCGTACGAGTACAGGTGAGCAAGCTGCGTGTGTGTGTGTCCATTTCGCTACGAGCATCGTGGCATCATTCGCGCGCGCTGTAGGAGGGCGTGTATTAGACTGCATTTATGAACTTCGGTCGGTCGGGTTCTGTTTACATTACATCGTCCAATCTGTGCGGGATTCCAACAACAACGAAAAAATCACTTTCGGAATGAACCGGCTGCAATGTGGCTCTCTTGATCGGTATTGCCCCACGATGAAGGGGGTTTGTCCACCAGCATCGCCTGGGACTACCGAATATATCAATATCAGGGGTTAGGAGGTATCAGCCTACCGTAGTGCGTCCCGGAGGGAGGAGGACGAAGAATACGAATTACTTTTTTTGTCCAGCACCCTCTAATGATCATCGCGACCCTACAGCCCTCCCGACTTCGGATGGGTCTGTTCATCCGTTTCGCGTCCATGTGGGGTGCCGACATGCTTTCCCCTACAAGTTCTGGTACGTGCCCAACACATCCCCCGCTATCATCTGCCACATGTTTCCTCGGGGGGGGGCGGGCGGCTGCCTAGCCCATCTTCAATGGACGGCGGGGGGAGGGGGCGACTTCCTCGGGAATTCACTCATTGGTGCACTAAGTGCATGGGGGCGTTATCATGCTTCGCTTCCCTACAGTTGTTAGACTATTGACTATGCATCTTCGAGAGGATGGAGCATGGTTCCCACATGATCGATCACCGATGGCCAATCGTTCTTTGCTGCTTTGCCAAAGGTGGCTCAAAACATTTTAGCCGTCCTAAGAACTACAGCGCACATTGCTGCGGCAATTAAGATGTTGGGCCTCGCCGAAAATAGGTGCGTACCTCTTACGAGCGGGCTGGCATCGTCATGTCTCGCCAGACCCAGAGTCGAGGTGCAATCTTGTTTGGTGGCGCAAAGCTACCACATTTCCAGTAGGAGCTACACTACATATCACGGATGAAACGATGAGCTTGTACTTGACTTGGCGTAAAAGCGTGGGATCTTGCGCGAAAGCACGACGCGAGTCTTCCGCCGAAAACAGCATCAACGTTCAACTTTGGCTGAGCAAACGTCTCCATGCCAGCTGCAGTTCTGTTCTTCGAGGTGAAAAAAACTAGTCTTGATTATGTACAGGTCCTCGCGGGCACTATCGAAAACAATTACCACACGACTGATGTTTATTGCTGTCTTTAACACTGTCCATAGTCGAAGTCACAATACGCCTGCAATCCCGTGGTGCAGAGCTCCTATTGTAATGGCATGAAAAATGGAGTTTTCCAACGTTCAATCGTTTGTTGTTTCCGTATTACTCGGATTTTACGTTCACCCGACAGGCATATAGCGCTGCCCGACTCAATTATGAACAAGTTGTCACCTTCGCAGCTGCTTTCTGAGGCGGAACTGGAATCTTTGGGCGTGTTCCAGGACCGCGGCTGGGAGCACTACTCCATCCTCAGGCGAGTGATGCTTTGAGACAGCTGCAAAGCGCACGCGAGAAAAATTCCCCAGTGCTATGTATATTGATGGAAGTCGATCGATGGATCCCTCTTTTTCAAGGGTGCCGCCAGGCGGCTAACCACGTTGTTTGAGCTTTCACGTAGGGACACATGTATTCCCGAAACAATGGCAATGGAAAGATCATGATCTCGACCACAGTACGCAAAGTTAGCCAAGGCAAAATGTTTTCCTCTGCAACGACATCAACGCACAGCTCTGGCCGCAAAAGGGTACAATGACCGCCGAATCGGGCTAGCGAAAACCAACGCAATTCGGAACAACAGCCATGGCCAATTTTTCGCGAGCTTGCGGTCGAGGTAGCGATGAATCTATGAACGATGCTCCTACGCTGCCGGATCCGAAATCGGGCCAGGCACATGCAGTCATGACCTTTAAGTCTGAAATTTCCTACTTCGTATATCATTTTCACGCTCCGCACGTTTGCGTTGCAGCGGTATCGGCGGGGCGTGTCCTGATGCTTACGTACGAAGCGGTATGTTCGACGCGCTCACCTGCCTAACCGTTTCCTCTAGGCCGGAGCCAAATATCTTGCTGTTCCGGCGGCCTATGGGCACCGACCCCGTCACTGGGACAGTGGACCCGGCGCGGCAACGCATGGCTGAAGCAGCATTCAGGCAACAGCTTATTAATCAGAACCGATCCTGAAGCGGAAAATGTGGCAGAGGAAAAGTGGTAGCCTCAGGATTTGACACCGAGGCGCACGGTGTGAGGGATGGGCTGGTGCCTGTTTGGTGGCAAGACGAGGTATTTTGGGTGGCACAGTGTTGTTACCCACGCCTTGCCCTCTTGCGAATTAACAGTGGCCGGCGTCTTGAGTGACAAGATCCTGTCAGGTGGTGTTGCGCGGGGCGGGAGTGTTGCTGTGGGATCTGGAGCAGGTAGGCTTCGCTTGTTCCCCGAACCTTCCCAGGATGGGAGAACAGAAAACGGGTGAAGCAATACTCTTCAACAGTATCGGCAGTACCTTTCATCGCCCATCTTGGTGGCCGAGGGCTGTCACATGATTCTCGTCGGTGATGCCCCCGGAAGGGTTGCAAGAAGTCATTTTTCTTTTCGGCATCGAAACAGAATCGCAATAGCCAACCCGTTGCCCGCTTTAGCGGGATTTGTGGCCGAGCAATACTGCATAATAAACGATTCGCGCGGAAAGCTCTAGGTTTCTTTGATTGAGGACGATTTGTGTTGACGGAATTGTGGAGCCTTGCTTTTATTCGGACTTCGGACTAAACCCCTGTGTTGGCATAAGGGTGGAAGCAGAAGAATGAGGGGCGACGTTCAAGAAGACCGTATTTCAATGCAGTTGGATGCATCGGTAACAAGGAACTATATAGAGAATCATGCTTTAAATGCACCCAATGCTGTCGCTGGCCGAGAGTCGATTTTGAGTTGTTCTCTTTCACCCGCACCTGTCAGCACACTTGCGAGGGGGGGCTATTGTACCAAGCCTCGTGACAATGAGTATCAAGAAGGGGGGGCAATACTCCGTAACTCCGTCAGTATGGTTGGTTTGATACTGAGAACTCCCGCCAAAGTATACAAGGTTGGATAATGATGAGGATGACGCAGTAATCATGTGTGTCAACCATGTGATACTGGGCAAGGCAGCAGTCGGAACAGGAGGACTTACCGCTGTCATATGGGTGAGCCCCTTAGACAGTGAGCCCCTAATTCGCTACACGTACTCTGTAGACTACTTCTTGTTGCTATATTCCAATCCTGCATTGGGTTGGTTTCTGCTACGGAAAAAAAACAAACAAAAGGAATTTTGGCACCGTTTTTTTTAAATAATTTTAAGCGGTTTCTTCACCGCGATTTCTTGACCACGACCGATTTTTTGTCATCTCGCGAAAGCTACGCGCACGAAATCGCGGCGGTGCCTTCGTGCAACCTACACCTCGAAACCATTTCTAAGGAGTGTACATGAAGTCGACACCGGTGCCAAACGCAAGCATATTGTCTTGCTTATGCCTTCACCAGCATCCCTTTAGCGTTAGTGTGCTTGTCGTGTTGCTCTCTTCTCCGCAGCTGAAGTCTCTGAGCTCAACAACGCCACAACAACGCCCACGACGACGAGGTTTTTCGCCCTGCCTGCGCACACTCCAGCCCTCGCCAGCACGGCTAGCCTTTTATCTCGCGCGAAAAAGTGCAAATACTCCCCAAGAATCAGAGGCACCGAGGCGCAAGAAGAGGGGGCGGCAAGGACTCAACATATCCAAGAGGAAAGGACGTAACGCGGCATAAACTAAACGACGAAACAAGGTCAAATATTGCCGAGGGGACAAACGAAAAAGAGGAAAAAATGAAAGCACGAAGACACGTAGGCAAGTACCAAAGAGAAAAAGGGACAAACTCCCCAGTAACTGACAGGACGCAGGAAAGATCGAAACGCAGCGTAGATGCAACAAAGTCATAGGCGAAAAATATGAAGCGAAAAAAGAAGAAAAGGGAGAGGAATGAGGAAACAGAGTAGTACACCCACTGGTCAACCGCAAGGGTAAAGGGGGAAAGCAGGAAAAAAAGGAAATTGGAAGGACAAATACACAGGAGAGAAGTTCGTTAGAAACAGGAAACAGAGGGAGAGAAAAGCAAGAGGAGGGGGACGAAAGAGGTCAAAATATCCAAAAGGAAGCAGGAAAGGTCGTAACGCGGTAAAAGGAAAGAACGCTGCAGGGTCAACTTATTGACGGAAGGGGAAACAGAAAAGGAAAAAAACAGAGACGGAAGCACAAAGACATCGGCAAGTACCAACGAGACCATAAATGGAAGCGCTCCCTACCAACTGACATAACGCAAGAAAGACCGAATCGCAGCCTGCATGCAACAAAGTCACAGGAAAAAAAAAAATGTCCAAAGGGAGAAGATTGAGGAGTAGAAACGTCACGGGAAGGAAGAAGACACATACGATAGTACGAACAAAAAAAATGGGAGAAAAATGAGAAGGAAACAGAATAGGTCACGAATCAATGTCAGGGCCAGGGGGGTGGTGTGTACTCATAGTCGTGCATGCCGTAGTCGTTACACCATTGACCTCGCATCCCTACCAAACCGGGACGGAGCACGCCGGGTTCTCACCGGACCAGGCTCTCACATCACCAAGCACGAAGCGCCGTGACGTATTCGGCGAGTCGCATGAAGGGTGCGCTGCATCCTGCTGAGAGTGTTCGGCAGCTTGTGCTTACGTCCTTGCGTACGGATGACAGCTGCGTATGATGTCTGGTACTTTCACTTCCAGAGACAGTTGTAAGCACGCTCGAGGGTGTTTGACCTATGTAACACAACGTGGTGCGATCATCCCCTTTGCGCGAAGTGACGGTTCTCGACCCCGCAAAACAAAATCTACTCGACCACCATTCATGGTTACCGCGAAAAAAAAACCAAAGGCAAACAAAAAAGTTGCCGAGCTCACGAAGTGATCGGCTTGTCTTACAAAATCGCTGCCATGCGGCGAAAGCCCAACCCCGATGGCAAACACCGGGGGGGGGGCGGGGATAGAAAAATACGCATTTCCCACATCGGAAATGACGCAGGAATGGGTTCGTCCAACGTCGAGGAAATCGTCCCTGTCATCGCCGTCGTCGGCGTTGTTATCGTCGTCGTCGTTTTCGACATCGTCGTCGTATTCGTAGTTGTTGTCGCTGTTGGCGTAGTTGTCATTTTTGTCGTCATCGTCGTTGCTGTCGGCGCCGCGGGAATCGTTGTTCCCGGCGCCGCCGCCGCGTCCGCCGTAGTGATCGTCGTCGCTGTCGTTGGTGGAGTTGCCGATCGTACGGTCGTTGGCCCGACGACGTTTCACGGATTTGTCGGAAGAATAGCGGGGATTTATGGAGGATTTTCTCTTGGTGGATTTGGTGGAAGACCCAGAAAGGCCGATGGTGTCGGCGGGGGGCTCGGTGGCGGAGAGGGCACGGCGCACGGCGTCTTCGTCGGCGGTAAGGGCGACAACGCGGTAGCCCCACCGGGTTTGGTTCGACCACCTTTCTCTCATCGGCGGCGAGAAAGGTAGTTTCCAGCAGGTGCGAAGCGCGTACCTTCTGGTAGGTAGGGTCGAAGGCAAGCGTCACCCCCACGGCCAGTTACCTCCTCGAGGATCTTTGCAAACAGAAGAAAGGGAGATGAGAGAGACGACACGCAAGACGAGACGTGGGAAGCGTTTATCAGGGTGTGCGGAGGGGGAGAAAGATGAAAGTATCGAAAAGGAACGCGCAAGAACGAAGATGCAGGCAAGACACGCCAGGAAAACGAGAAACTATCGAATAGGAACGCGCAAGAACGAAGATGTAAGGCAAGACACGCCAGAAAAACGAGAAGAAAAACAAAGAATCGCGGTCGACGAAGCAGGGACTACGACATACCCGCCGCACCCAGTCCGTGCAAGGCATTGAGTGTGAATCGGGCACGGCACTTATTCCAACAGGATCAAAACCGTCTATCGGTACTGGCGTGTCTGTGAATGTCAAATAGAGCGTCGCTTCCGGAATGGTAGGCGTTGCGGACTTTGTCGAATAGACATTCCGCAGTGAACATGAGGAGGGCGGCCTTTAACGGTTTCGACATCCGTGTCCCTTTGGTCAAGAAATTGCTTAGCACTTGCACGTTGCAGGTGGGAATTGCTCAAGTCGAAACCTTCCGGGACGTCGATTCCGAGGTGGCTGATATGCCTACAGCCGTCCGAGATAAAATGGTGAAGTTCCTGGCAATAGAGTGTCGTTCTTCCACGCTTCTTCGATCTCGTGGGGAAAAAATGTCGAAGGTGGTGGTGGCAGGGTAACAGTCCGCACAGTTGTTTCGGTGCGCCTTAGCTTTGGACGGCCTGTTCAAGAGCAAAACCGGCTTCATTGAGAAAGGGGTCGTCGAAATGGCCAGAAGCGGTAGCGGCTTCCTTGAAGGTGCAATGTTCAAGCCCGCAAACGGTGAGGGCGTCGCGAAAGGAACGCGGTGTTGCACCTTTCTTCAGGAGAAACCACAGGCAAGAAACGTCGCCGTGGTTGACACGAGGCGTCCCTAACTAAGTGGTGTACATCTTTGTAACGTGGAAGGCCCCCAGTAGGGTTGTCGTCGAATGAGAAGTGGGAAGTGACTCACAGAAGGCGAAGTAGAGCAAAAGGTGCAATGGGATGCGTAGGGCATGTGGCTGGAATGGATGAGATGGATACTACCGGCGTGTCACCGTTGGTGTTGGTTGTCTAAAAGAGACCTGAAGACGGTTCGAATCATCGTCCCATGGAGTTTCGTTCCAACAACGCTGTCGGCATATCCTTCTTCACCTCAACATGGACAACAACTCGTCTTCTTCGATCTCCGATGCTTCATGGACAACCCGTCTTAAAAACTTCTCATTAGCCGCCATAACCACCTCCGCAACTCTTCTCCGCGCTCAGCCAAGTCAGCCTTCGGCCCTCGGGACTGTACAGCCTCTCTCCCAATGAGCAGACGCGTTTTTTTCTTGGCCCATAACTGGGTACGTTTGTATGCTAATGGAAGCTGACCGTCTAAACAAGAGCATGGGCAGGTCCCCTCCCCCCTCCCCGATCAGAACAGAAGGATCTGGATATCTGGATACTGGCTTTGTTGGCCAAAAGAAATGACAGGTGGCGGGGGAGGAGATACACGGAGCCCCGAGCGGCGGTACATCTCCGAAAGAAAAAAAGAGCGGGACCACTATTCCATCCACCGCCAAGGAGAGGGGGGAAGGAGAGACAGAACAGCACAGAGAGAGAGAGGGGGGGGGAGAGAAACATGGAAAGCAGACGGAGGCAGCCATTTCCTCAGAGCAAGATTGAGGAGGCCGCCACTGCAACAACTCGTCGACCGGAGCAGCAGCTTGAACATACGCCTTTCATGCGTCCGTCTGCGCCAAGTGCAGATGATGGTCCGGACGCCCTCCATAACCCGCCTAGGAGCTTCTCTGAAGCGATTGATCGCGTAGGTTTGGGCCCTTTTCAGACGAGGCTGGTCACCATGTGTGGATTGGTGAGCGTGCGCTGCGATGTCACGTGCTGTCGATGTCATCGTCACGAATTACCACCTGGGTGGCAGACCTGCAATGTCGTTCTGGCAGTCGGACGATAATTCAAAACGCGTTTGAACGGCGTAACCAGCAACAGCCTGCGCTGCTGGCGCCCAAGGCAAGGTGCCCGACTCGGGCAGCACTTGCAGGAGCTCGGCTCTTTGAATTGGTGTGGTTGCACTCTTGTTGCACACAGATGTTGCTGTCTCGTTGTTGGTTGTATGTACAGCAGTAGGTATGTAAACTCCATGTGTACCGGTAGTACTACTGTACATAGGCAAGGAAGGTACATTTCGGTATGGATGCAACAGTAGGTGTCCCGGTATAGTGCCGGTTGAATAGTGCCAGACAGCTGGTGCCAGAGTCCTATATACACCAGTGCCCGGTAAATTTTCTTGACGCAGACACAGACCTGAATAGTGCCAAACCGCCACTATTGAGGGTTGCCCGCTATTGTGCCGGTTCAGATACGAACCCCTCAATAGTGCCGGTTCACAAACCCCCACACACAGCTTTTTTTCGCCTCAAGTCTTGCACACCAACAGGATGATTGAGACGGTTAACCTTCGAGCTACTTGTATAGCTCGGTTTCTGTCGGTACGCATGACGTCTTCAAATGTCATGGTGTAGAGATCGACCAAATTCCACCACAGCAAATTCAGCCAATAGGTTGGGATTTCAGTAGTAGTGAGGCGGGCGACAAGGAACATAGTGGTAGTGACGACGGATGTGGAAAAAATAGCGAAGGATAGCAGTGATGATGGAGGTGGAAAATATGGCGTTGAGGGGAACAAGAGTTTCGAGCCAGATGACCCTCCTCACAACAAACGCCGCAGGGGGGCAGAGTCTGGAGATGAACGCCCGAAAAATAGTGGAAAAGTTAGTGACGAGAGTAGTAGTGGTGGTAAAATGCAAGGAGGATGATTTCACTCCGAAACGAACTGGTGTTGTTGTTGTTGTCTTCACTTTAAAAACCATTCCGGTCTCCGCTCAGTACCTTCTAATGATGTCCGTACTGGTCCAACTGACGCAGACGCCTTCCGTGGTGCAAAGTGTTAAGTAGCAGTTGTCCTCTGTTGCCACCGCCTTTGATCAGAATAGCTTTGCCTCCGCCATGACACCCTCTCACGGGGTCCCAGATCAGGGCCTTGAGAAACATATATTTTTCTGTTTTAAACCGCACTGAGACTGACGTCTTTCGGTTGGCGTCTTTTTTGCGTCTGAAGGCTTGGTCTTCTCTCTAGCGTTTTGTCGAAGGAACAGGCGAGTTTGTTTTCTTCTTCGCCCCTTTGGGTTGCATCTGCTTTTGTTGTGCTCGTGTAAGGAGCACTACATCCATGTTGTACCTCCAAATGTACATCGAGTGCGTGCATGACGAGCGTCTTTATTTCGTTGTCGAGGGGTGCCTTTGAAGTTGTCTAAATAGTGCTACAGCCTTCTTGCCGCAACAATACATCATTTGATAGCGGGGTGCCCCTTGATCGGGCAGCATGGTCTACTGCACCACTACCTTAGGGTGCGCCGAGGTGTGAACTGGTGCACCAAACAAATGTATCTGGTCAAGTTATTCTTGATGTGATCAAAGCCGTGTTTTCGATAGGCTAGCAGCCTCACGAGACGCCGCCCACCTCACAATTGATCCGTATACCGTTCGTTTGGTCCTTTTGCCAGCCCCGCAAAACGTAAGCGCTGTACCATGAAGTCGAAAAGTCCTCACTACTGCCAAGCCGGCACTGCAGTACGCGAAAAACATTTCCCTGGACCTTGCGGGACACGCATTCCACTTTTCCAGATTTTGGGCGCGCCGTGGCCGGGGCGGGGGGTCGGTGATTTAGAATGGAAATAGAAAAGCATCTCCAATTTTATTGTATTGGGTGTAGGGTGCATATACTAAGGTCGAACACACGAACATAGGTTTGCGGCTGTCGTTGTTGGTGCTTTATAGTATTCCTGGGAAAGAACTGATGGAAGAGGCAGACGAACGCATAACAAAACGAACCTGTTTTTTCTTTCACGTCCCCTCTATTTAAAGATCTGTGTGTAGCATCATATCTAAGCATCAACAAAGTAGCGCCGGCAGCAGACGCACACAGATCAGGTGAAGATTAGAACGCGTGCAACGGAAGCGAAATAGCCCGCTCCAAGCGTAACGTACAAAAAATACAGGGGACGGTACTTCGAAGTTACAGTACTTCATAGCAGAACGCGAGAGGAAGGAGCCAAACCGAAAGCTCGCCGAGCATCACTTGTTGCTGCAGAGGAACAAGTGGCACGACGCCAAAGGTGCAAGCGGTGTGTCGAATGACTGTTTGGTGCCTCTACGGCAGCTGCACCTGGCCAGTGCAGGGTATGTGTGTGTCTCTCTCTCTCGTACCCGCTCACTATTCGGAAGACTGGCTGTCTGTTTAGGTGCGGTCTATTTTTTTCTTTCTACCGTCGTCGGGGGGATGGACATGCACGGAGCCCACGTTTGCGGAAAATCGACATGCAACATCTCCCATTCGCCGCCTGCACGATTTTTTCTCCCACGCGTGCCCGCGGCTCTGCCTTTGCTTGTGTGTTGTTGTCGTTTCGTGCCTTGCCGTCTCTCTCTTATCCCTTTCTGCTTGCAAGGGTTGGGTGGTCGATTCGATGGAAGTTCTTGTGTTGGCGTTTGTGCTGGAAGCCATCGCGACCTCGTTCGAGCTGAGCAGCGTCGGAAAGGGGCTAATCGGCAGTGCTAGTTTCTTTGGTGAGGCGAAGAGGGGCGAGCGTACGGGGGACAGGGGGTCAGGAGGCAGGGCAAGAGGGAGTGACGCACAAAGCGACAGACGTTTCCGAGGGTTTCCAAGGTGTTCCGTGTGTGCGTCATCAGCACGGTAAATGGCACACACTGTGCTAAATACGTGACCGAAACGCATTAGAACCCCCCCACGCCACCATCTTCGTGGCTTGCCTTTTCACCCCGCTTTTCGTCTCCTCTACCTTTCCGTCCCTCTCCGCTGCAGGGATGCTTGTCGGCGCGGGTTTCTGGTCCATCTACGCCGACAAACGCGGCCGCAGGACCGCCTTCGTGTCGTCCCTGGCCTGCGTCTTTGTCGGCGGGGTCCTCTCCTCTCTCGCACCGTCTTTTTTTGTTCTCTGTCTGTGCCGAGTGCTCGTCGGCTTCGGAGTAGGAGGTAAGGCGGGCGGGACACACACAACACCACGCTCCCTGGTGGGATTTTCGCGTTAGGACGGTCAACGAAACCAACCTTAGCAGCGTGGCCGGCGCCATTCCAGTGTCAATCAGAGCCAAATGGCGATTTGAGTGGTCAGAAGATGCCGAAAACGTACCTAAGCATCCCGTTCACTTCGCTCGGCTTTCCATTCTTCGTCATTGCTGTCCAGTTAACCGCAACCGCAAAGCATGTCCTCCATGTCCTCCATCTAGTCCAACCAAGCATTTTTGCACGCATCCGACCCATAGCGTGATGAGGATACAGGCTCATCCAGGCAGCCGATACAGGTGCTTGGAATCTCTCTCGTGCGTCCACACGTCGTGCTGCGAGGGCTACACACCTGCCTGAACGTAATACCACCAGACGCATCCAAGGCAGCACTCAAGACGACACAGCGGTACCGTATGACGCAACAATACTCAGAAGTAGCCCGGGTCGTCCTACGTTTTTCTCTCTGACGGCAGGTAACTTGCCCGTGACGACCGCGCTCGTCACCGAGTTTCTGCCGACAAACGATAGGGCTAATATTCTCTGCGCAACTGCTGGAATTTTCTGGGGCATCGGCATGATCTTCGCTTCCCTCCTTGGCCTCATGCTCGCCAATGTTCTCGGGCCCGGGTAAGTGTGGGACATCTTCCGAACGTTGTGACTGAAACCGTGCCACCCCCTGCGCGCGCACTTAGGCAAACCTTTTACGGTGACGTTGTCCATTTGTGTGTGTCCCTCAAACCGCCATCTAGACCCCCCCTTCCACTCCGTCCGATACCGTAGATGCCCCCGACATCGTCTCGGTCAAGCCTAACTCTGCCGCGCCCTGTACGTTTCCGGCTACGGGTTCATCGAGGGTTGTGCCAAGCCAGAGGAGCTCTCTTAATTCGTGACTTCGGTTTGTTACAGAGAAATCTGTGTTCAACCGTTGTGTAAGAGACGGACTCCCTCGTATACCGGTGTTTGCTGCGGCAAGCTTTTCTTCTTCTCCTATGAACGTACTTTCTCGTTAACAAAAACAAAACTCTAATAGTATTTCTAGCTCGAGGTTTACCCTTGCGATGCTGACGTCCTGGCGTAACACTTCCCCTATCGAAGTAATCGAGTCCTCGAACGAACGGTGCATGCAACAGGAAGGAAGAGGCAATGTGGCGCTGGTTTCTTGGGGTGGCCGCGCTTCCATCCGCGATCGTGGCCGTGGCCTACCGGCTGCTTCCTGAGTCCCCCCGCTTCCTGCAGGTCATGGGGAGGCACGACGAGGCGATGCAGGTATGTCGTACATGTGGTGTGGTGTGTTGGTTTATCGTGTGGCGTTGAGAAGGAGGTCCACGTGTAGTTTAAGGCGTTGCTTTCTTGAAGGGGGGGATGTGCTGGCATTGAAAGGCAGGGAGGGCGGCGCCGTCAGAGCGCATTCGAGAGACGGGGGGTCAATTTTGGCGCCGTCTACGCGAGGGGGTGCGGAGGCTGGAGGGTTGCCTTGAGAGACCGCATTGCGAGGTCACCGATTGATTTATGGAGGGAGGGAGAGCGGTTGCCTAGTGCAAGACCCTCGGATATCGAGACAGGCGGGATGTTTGCCCCCAAGCCAATGACGACGACATCGATTGAGGCTGTTGTGGTATCCGTCCTACAGGTGCTGGAGCACGTGGCGAGAATGAATGGCAAGCTGGACGTGCTCGGGTTGGGCTTTTCAGGGCAGGCGGTCGACGAGGGCGACCCTCTACGCCTTCGAACGACCGGGTTGTCAGGTTTCTATCCGTGTTCCTATTTTGGCTTCGGGGAGGGGGGGGGGGGGGTGAGGAGAGAAAAGAATGGGGGTGTAAGATGTGGAGAGCTCAGGTGCCGAATGAGACGGGTAGTCGTATCTCTTGTCTCCACGCGGCTCATAGGCGGCCTGTCCATTACTCTTTTTTGAGAGGAATCTTAGGCTCTCGCACCTAACCCGCAGTTCGTGCGGGACGGTCGGTGTGCGTTTCAAAGCAACAGACGGTGGTGTATCACCAATACTTGATCCTGCCGTTGAGAGCTGACTGCTTCCGGTAGTTTCGTTGGTGGTCTTGCAACCTTCCAGCCCGCTGGCGGTTTGGCGTGAGTCGAATCTCGGTGCAGTTACTTGAACCGACGTTTGGTCTTGGTCTTGCATTTTCCCGAGTAAAGGTTGATGGTGATTCATTCGTGTGTCCGAAGAACCCGGCTTCCCGGCCGAAAGAAACAGTTGAATCGTCTTCGGGACGAAGAAGGGTAAGGCAATAACACGGCGGCAGGAAAGGGGAGGAAGAAAACACATCCTATGAGACCATCCTCCTGTGTGACCCCGGTTGGTGCGACCGAAAGCACGCCGAAAGATTTGTGAAAATGAACTTCCAGAACAATGGGATATCAACGTACGACACGCACGCATTCCAGGCACATCAAAACCGATCGATGCGCCAGCAGCAACTTCCCGGTGCCTCTCCCATGAGGCACAACACTCGACTTCACACACGTTTGACAACATATGACAGCTTCTATGACAACGACGGCACTCTTCTAGCGGGAACGAGATCGTTTGCGCGTGATCGACAGTATTGTAGCGATAAGCAAACAGGTGAGTCGTTTCCTTTGGGCGTGGGGTGACCCCCTACCCCACCCCAACACCTCACTCGTAAGTCGATGTCACATACATCTCGGCAGATGACGATGACGCTGTCTCTCTCTCCGACAGATCTGGACTCTGGCGGCGGCGGCGGCGGCGGCGGCGGCGGCGAAGCAGTTGCGGCCGGGATCGGAGACGCCGCGTCGCACGGGCAGGAAGCGGAGAACGCTGAGGCCGGGGATGTGCGCGAGCTGTTCCACACTCCCATCCTTAGAAGGATAACGCTGTCCTTGTGAGTATCGGGCGGCGTATCTGGCCAGATGCGCGCTTGGAGGCGGCGCCGGCGCCGGCGGGGCGTGTGTGTGAGAGAGAGCACAGCCGAATGAAAGAGAGAGGCGATCTACATGTTCGCCTGTGCTCATACAGCACCCCTTTTTTTGGCACGCGCATGGTTCATGCTTTACGTCCATGTTTGTGTCGCCTCTGCTTTGGCCCCGATGCTCCTCTTTCTGCGTTGTGCTGATGATGCATGATCTTGTTGACCATCTTTCCTCTCAGCATGTCGGCTGACCGTCGTTGTCGTCTCCCGGTCCACCCCACTTCCTAATCTTCGGCCCCCCTTCCGCCGCTCCTTCTCTCTCTCTCAACGTACCGAACTAACTGCCCTCAACCCGTGTATTCCTCACGTACTCGAATGTAGGCGGTCGTGTTGTAGCTCCGTTCGTGCTGCTCGTGTTTCCTCCCCGCTGGCTGAGCTTTCCTTGCTCCGCTCGTCGTCCGCTTTTTTCGTCCCGCGTGCTGGCGCTGGAACCCCGTGCTCGTACCAGATGGGTAGTCTGGTTCACCGTGAACATTAGGTGGGGAGAAATAAGGACTTGTATGCTAGGTGGTTCTGAAAAAGGTAGATATAACGCAATGGATGGCTTCTTGTTGCATCAAGTGGTGACTTGACGATGTGCGCTGACCTTGGTTTCGTCGGTTGGTGGGAGCCGAGGGCAGCGTTGTACACGAGTCGGAAGCACCACCCCCAACACTCTGGCGGGGTTTCTGCCATGTACAGACACGGGGGCTCCGGCGTGCACATAGTGATCCCCCCCCCGCGTCGTATCTTTTTTGGGCTTGTCGAAGTTTATTTGGGGGGTCTATTGTATTGTCTGCAGGATTTAGTGGCTATGCTAAAAAATATGCATAGTTTTAGACTTTGTAATGAAATTCTGCATCGCACCTCATGAAATATAGAGATCTGTGGGTGTTTAAGTATGGACGTAGTAATCCTGTAATGATGCTTATAGGTTTGTAAACCCCTGGTATACAATAGAACCCCCCCCATTTGGGCTCTTCGAGTTTTGGAGCAATGCATCTGTGTATGCACTCCAAGAGCCCCCTTGGTGTGACGCACCACTTGTGTTAGTGTGCGATCGCGTGGTACTCATGCAGCCGTTTCGGGGCCGTGACTCTGCAATCGACGCGAGCGGCGCTCTTGAACCGGATGGACTTGCACCGCCTACGGTCGACCAAGGCTCTGAGGATGTCATCCACCAACAGACGTCAGCCAGGACGATTGATCTTTGCGTTACGAAGGCGATGATGCGCCTAGTCATACCTCCACCCTCCTCCTCCCTTTCGCCCCCCCATTCCCCGCGCGTCATGGACGGTACGACTGCTTCAGCTATTTCGGTGTGACCTTCTTGCTGCCGAGGTACTACGATAAGATCTCGGGCGGGCAAGCGAACTTCGTGTACATCCTCAGCGCTCTCGTCGGCGCAACGTTCATCCCGGGTAAGTCTGGCCGTAGCTCAGCGGGACCCCCGACGGCATGATCACATGGAGCGAATGTGGTGTAAGTAAGAATATTTTGGGTAGGTGATCGTAGCTGGTGGTGTTGTCACGATCGGATTTGAGTTCACTCCTTGACTCTACGGTAAGCCTCGCTTTTCGGGCACGGGTATGTCATGTTGTACTTCGTGCTAATGCTGTAATGTGCGGTTCTTGGTAATCTGAGTTTCAAGCATGGAAACAGAGTATTTCATTTGTTGTAGGAGTATTTGGGTTTTGTGTGTGACGCGTCTCGTTACGGCACACCAGTAGTCGTGCCCACGATACAGCAGTCAAAACACGTGGTGTCCCTGCAAGACCTTTCCTGGCCCCCGCTGCTAGGTTGGCACGCCAACCCTTTGTAGCAACGACCACCGGCACCTGGGTTGGCGCAGGCCTGCCTCTACGTTTCAGTCAACCTTCGTCCACTTCAGTACGTAGTTTCTTCGTTTCGTCGTCAAAACCATGCCCCCCCCCCCCCCCCCCCCCCCCCAACCCCCAACCCCAAAACAAACCCCCTTCCCCCCAAATTCCTTTTCCCCCAACCCCCCCCCCCCCCCCTTTTTCCCCCCAAATTTTCCTCCTATTCCACCCCCCCCCCCCTCATAATTCTAACCACCACCCTTTAAAAAAAAACCCCCTTCCCTTTTCCCCCCAACTTTACCCTTTTCTATACCCATAAATTCCCTTATTTTTTTTTCCTTATTCTTTTTTTTTTCCAAAATTCCCACCAAAAAAAAAAAAAAAAAAAACCCCC